CAGGTAGTGGGTAGTGGCGCTTGTAAGAGCTTTGTAGGTCTGGGTGAGAATGTTTTTTTATTTAATTCTGTTGGGACTCAGAAAGATGCAGCAGATACAGAATGGATGGACTTAAGTGTGTAGAGGTGGAAGAGAGGAAGACTAGTTAGTAGGTTATTGCAGTAGTTGAGATGAGAAGTAACAAGGGACTGGATAGGTTGCTTAGTGGTGTAGGCACTCAGAAACAGACATATTTTGGAAATATATGCCTAAGTGGTTCTGGTAGGATTAAGAAAGAGATTAGATGTGGGGGTTAAAGATAGATTCCAGTCATGTGTATCTCTAAATGCAGCAGCCTTGAGTTATTGGGAAGATAGTAACGCTATAAACAGTTATAGAGAAATCAGAAATCAAAGTAAGTTAGAGGGGTGAATAAGAAGGAGCTCAGTCTTGGACATATTGATCTTTAAGTGACAACATCCATGAAGGAAGGCCTAATAAGCAGTTGCTGACACAAGGAAGGACAGAGGAAGAGAGATCTGAGGCGAAGAGGTACAGTTCAATGTCATCAGCATAAAGGTGATATTTGAAGCCATAAATGTTGATAAGCTTATCCATAGAAGTATAAATGGAAAAGAGTAGAGGACCCAAGAGAGCCTTGAGGTTCTCCAATTGACAGGGGCATTCAAGAGAGCATATTGAAATAACACCAAAAATAACATATCAGAGAGATGAGAGTGGGTCCAAGAGAGACCTGTGTCACAGAAGCCAAGAGAGCTGAGAATCTGCAAGAGATGGATGTGATCAACTTTGTCCCAAGCAGCTGAGAGGTCAGGTAAGATAAGAATAGTATAGTGACAAGTGCTTATAAGAGAAATAAGGAAAAGAAAGGGGCAGTTTCAGTCAAAAGACAGAAGCTAGATTGCAGGTGATCAAGTAGGGGGTTGGAGGACAGGAAGTGGGTTAAGTGGTTGTAAACTAATTTTTCCAGGTTTTTAGATGTAAGTGAAAGCGGTGACATGGGGTGGTAGTTTGTAAGAGAATTAAGGTTAAGGGAGGTTTTTTTCTTTGCGTGTTTGAAAGAGGATGGGAATGAACCGATATTAAGGGCTCAGTTGAAAATGTGACGGTTGGAGACAAACATAAGTAGTGGAGGCGAGGAGTTGCACCCAGTGGAGCCCAAGTGAGAAGTTAAACTGCAACTGGTCTCTGAACACTGAATGTGGCTAGAATGGCTGTGATCATCAATAATTATGATCTCAGCCGGGGGAGGAATGGCGGCTGTAGCGAAACTGATGCAGAGTTGAATAAGGGACTTAAATGGCTTAACTAATATTTAGCTATTCTATATTAAATTAGATTGAGTTAAGTTTTTTGCATGGTTGTGAAAATCTACATATTATCTAATTATAGATTAAATACATAGTAATCTGGTGTTTTTTGTCACGTCTCAAGAAATTGAAAAAGACTAATTCCACCCAAAAGGGCAGACCAGATTCAAAAGGCAGGCCAGGTCCTTCTGCATTGCTGGAACAGACCATACATGAAGGGTGAGGGACAACCAACAGATTATTAGACTTTATTTTTTCATACATACTTAAAAATATGAAATCTAAACAATCATTTAAATGCTTAAGATACTCGAATCAGTGTACAATATAAAGGTGTTTTGTTTTTTTCATCCGTAGAGCGGTCATATTAGGTTAATGGTAGCTGATGAGGAAATTCATTGTAAATAAAAGTGTTGCATAATTTGTATCAATGTTCTCCAAATATTAGTATGACAAGTAAAAATGTGTTGTTGATTGAAATGTATAATGTAAAAAATTAAATAAGGATAGGGTTACTGTAATTCATTCCATGATGATATCACACTACAATGGAACATTTTACTGTAAGTTCTACATGATGAGACAGATTCACAGGAAAAGCTTTTGTAACTTTTTGAGAAAGATTTGTAAGGTTTTGTGTGACAGTAATATAAAACGCTCCTGTCAAAAAATGGACAAAGAGTTTTTTGCTTTTTTCATGATAACTTTCTTATACTGCACAGATACTGGAAAATAAAGTTGTTAGATTTTGTAAAGTCTATATGACAACAAAAAGCCCCTGGAAAACAGATATATCCAGTACATTTGAGTCTACATTTTTAAGTTTGTTTTCTGGAAATACAAATCAAACTAGACTGTAAGCTTAGGGGCAACATTGAAACATTGAAGATATATTGAAGATTCCTGTATCTGAGAATCGTGTGAAAGACATACATAGGCATCAGTTTAAAGTCACATTCCTTAGGTTCCTTGCAGTTCAAATCCGAATACCATAGATCAAGCTATGGAATGTTTAATAGACCCAGCAGAAGAGGTATACATTTATATCTCTCTCTCCATCTATTGTATGTATGGTAGAGATGACAGTTAATATTATTATTTTGATTGTTACTACTGTAATGGACAGCCAAATGTGGCCAGCTGTTTTATAAAAGAGACCTTATGATTAAAAAAAAAAATGAAGGTGAAATTCGATTTTTAAGGTGAAGAAATTGTATAGGGTTGGTTGAACAAGAGAATGGTAGAATACCTTCAGCTGAAGACCCTACAATAATTTAGCTTGACATAAGACATGCTGAAAAGTGAGTTAAGATCCCCAAAAATGCAAGGAACAGTTATTAATACCTGAAGGAATACACAGGTAAACGATCAGTCTTCATTAGCAAGAATGTTTGGTTTTGCCACTAGAATATGTGTATTAGTGAGAGTAACCAATAAAGGATAAACACAAACCAATCATTGTCTGCTAGACGTTTTTTCACAATTCAAATTCAAATTCATCACAATACATCCAAATTGTGGGTGATTCGTTCAAATTCTGTAAATCTAAAACTCTATATGGCCAAATCACAAAACAAAAGATAAAGGCAATGGAAGAGCTGTTTCATTTGACTGTTGTAATTGTCTTATAATTTCTAGCCAGCTTCCACATAAAAATATTAAACACATTATAAATAAAACAAGCACATGGGTGTCAACATGACTGCCATATTGGTATGAGGTGCCCCTACCTTCCATGCCAATGGAGGTGGCATGTCTACTAAGCAGTGACCAGCCATTGATAATAAAGGGGATGGGGCCTTTAAAGTAAAGGGACGCATGTCCTACCATGCTCCCACCCATAGGCATTAGCTGGGGGCTAAAAGGCCAATAATGTGAAATGGACAGGTCATTGTAACACAATGGCTCTATAAAACATGAGAAGACATTCTAAAGTACCAAGAGAGAAGGGTGGGGGCTCTCAAATCCAACTAGGGTAGACAATAAACAGTACCCATCCACAGTTGATGGGTGTCAGCCAGGGATATGTAAAAATTAAGAAGTGGTGGATAACTACTGTAACTAAAAGCTGCCCAGTTGCTAGTTTTAGCCAGAGGCTATCAGTAAATATGGTAGATAGGGGCATAAGGGAGATATTGCACCTTTCTTTTGCTAATATGGAGGTCGTGTTGACCCCCCCCAGGGCTTTTTAAATTAGTTTTAGTTTTTTTTCTTTTAAACATGTGGCAGGTGATTTCATATTGTTGGATAAGCTTTTCAAATGACTTTATATTTTTATATACATTTTTTAAATGATTAATATTAATGAAAAATATTTTAGTTTTGCAGTGTTTTGATATTTTTGATATTTTAATATTTTTTAAAATAAGATATCATTTTTCATATTTTAATATTTTGAAAACATAAATTTAAAAGTTTATTTTAAAATATTAAATAATTTTAACAGCATATGCAATAATATTAAATTGAGGCCATTATTAGTAATGACATAGGCATCCTCTGTTAGTATTACTGATGTATTGGCCCCCGAATCATAACACTGGACTTAGCAAATTAATATGCACATTGAGAAACCAAAGAAATATTTAATGGATTTGCATTTAGTTAATGCTTTTATTGAATTGCTATTTGTTTTCTTCAGTCGGGCTATTTCTTCTGAATTAAAGTAGTCTGAACCACCGTCAAAGCATCATAGATTGCCCTTAAGTATCTGCAAGCTAATTTGAGGAATGTTACAACTATAACATTTTTAGCTGTATGAATTGAGTTGTTTTTTGTAGCTGCTTCACCTGCTGAGGGTTCCTGTGATGGGTAATATTACTCCCCAAATTAAATTGATGGACGATTTGTGAGTTATAACTGGTAGAGGAGTTTATGCCCCAATATTTAGTAATTGGCAATTAGTCATTATAAAATGGAGAATATTTTATGTGTCCTTATTTCAGAATCATAGGGTGATGAGATGGTCTAGACTCTAGAGGGTGGAAACTGAAATGCAACACTTTTTTTGATGTGCTAGTTATATTATCTATCTACAGAATTAAGGTCCTGGAGGAGCCTGCATGCTAGCCTCCTGCCGCAGGACTATGGCCCCTGGAATATACCTTGTCTAACACACTTTAAACAGCTCTGTTCGTGTGGTTTGGGTTATATGGTTCGAGAACTGAACAGCCGCACGAAGCAGAGACCACCCGGGTGCTTGTTAAGTCCAACTGACACCTTGTAACGAGTTCCACCACAGTGTTCTAATTGTTCGCCTGGGTGGCCGCAATTCATATGAACAACTACGAGGTGGTGGCCATCTTGTTCACATGAACGCAGGCAGCAGTGTTTGATTGTCGAGTTCATGGAACACCGCTGTACTTCTATAATTGCCTGTGTTCGGTTCTATGCAACTTAGCAGGGCACTGTTCGGTGGAATCGTTCCCATGAACAAAGTGAACAAGATACACAGGTTAACTATGGATTCCATTCAATATTTTATGTACTTTTGTACTCCCGAAAGAGACCGACTGTTAGCACTGATTTCATGGAACTGTTTTGGGCATAGGACCATGTGCACGGTAGGTAAAATAATTGACTTCCGGGGGCGTGGCTGCATAAGAATCTGCTCCGGCACATGGGCTCCATTAAAATTACTAATCCACATGCAAAGACAATGGGCAACAGCCACCAACAGCAAGATTCATCATGGCACAACATAAAACTAAGAAATCTACTACAAAAGCGGATAAAATGAACTTTTTAAACAACAAGGCGGCAACAACTACAGAGACCACGTGGGCCGCTCTACAAGATAGCGCTGAGGACTTGGACCATGACCCCAACTCAGCTCCACATGATGAGCCAAATAAATCGGAGGGACTCACCAAAATATACATTGAGCAAACCATCGAAAACTTGTCAGCAAAACTAATTCAAACTTGGAAAGTGACGGCAGATCAGATCAGAAAGTAAGCGAGGGACATCATCAGTAGAGCAGCACTGCCAAGACCTGGACACCGTGCAAACAGAACAGCAAATGAACTACAAGCCCTGCAACAACAAGTGGAGAGCATGGAAACCCATATGGCAGACTACGAGGACAGAGCCCGCCGGAATAACCTGAGGTTACACGGCATTCTGGAGACCGTGCTCCCTAACGACTTGCCGGTCTTCGTTACAGGCCTACTACACGCCTATGCACCGGACATCCCGGCGGACATGCTCCTGGTAGACAGGCTGCACAGGGTCCCGAAACCAAGACATTTACCGGACTCCACACCCCGCAATGTGCTCATCAGAACACATTACTACCACATCAAGGATCCTCAAAACGCACGGTAACAAGCAAGACCTGCATGAAGATTTCACTACAATACGGATTATGGTGGATCTCTCTGCAGCCACCCTACGACGCAGGAGGGACTTTCAACTGATCACGTCAGAATTGAGGAAAAAAGGAGTCCGCTATAGATGGGGATTCCCCACGAAACTCCTTCTCACAAGAAACGGAGAAACAAGGTCCATCTCTACACCAGAAGAAGGCATGTGGAAATTAGAGGAATGGGGCTTAATCACCAAAATGCCAGCTGAAACACACACCACACAAGGACAAGGTCACCTCTCCCCTGTGGACTGATAGCCTGAACACACAAGTGCCACAAGTATCTTAACCCTTGTATAGGGAAAAATGTTGACAATAGGTCACTGTTCAACTGACCACAAGATTAGATGTTAAAATTTGCATTTGAAACTACTATAGATATGCATGTTATTATGATGTATCTGTTTGCTTAAAAATGAACCACACGAGTGCCTGCCACAATCCGTGGCCCTGCCAGGACACCTCAGGCATTCACTTTAACCAAAAATAAACTGGGGAACCAAGCTGGGAGGATATGGCACCCCTTCAATTATGACAAGCACAACCCTACCCTTACTCACTAGGTAGACCAAATCTCTACTACATAAGGGGAACAGGGAGGCCATAGCCAGAATGTGGGAAAGCCCCCAGGCTTGGGGGACTGACATGCCTCAAAGGGGATAAAGACCGACGGAAATGGGTCGTGATAACTGTCAAACTACACCCGGAACCAGGTTCAATGACCAACAAATAGTCAGAGGGTAGGGAACATGAAAGAGGGACTGACAGACATTCCGTGGGAATACAATCACACTGTGAATGAACCGAGGCCACCCGGTTCGCTGAACCAACACCTAGATTAGCAGTGCAGCGACAACCATAGTTAAGTCATATAGCCCGAAGTAGATCCCACTCACCTTGTGGAGGGGAACCTCTGCAACCTGCTCATTGAGGACTTATATAGACCCTAGAAAGCCCAAGCGTTATATGCTATAAAATATACCTACTCTTATCACACACAGCTCATGAGCCTCCACACCTAGACAAATTACCGAAACGAAACCCAGGTTGACATTACCAAATATGCAACCCAAACATACGTCCACATGAGATGATACATATCTGTACCACTATTGCTTACCGAACTATATAGAAACTCCCTGTTTATATGCTTATATGTTTATATGTTAATATTCTTCGATTAATGTTACCAAACACTGTTGTTCTGCTGATACTACGACATAGAATGGAGCCCAAACAGCCACTTGTTTGGAAGTTTTCTCTTCCCCATACTTCCATGCCCAGAGGTGTGGCTAGCACCAGACCAAGAGGTCACCCACCCAATACCTAGACAGCCCTCAACCCCCTCTACCTTCCTGACCACCCCACAAATTCTACAGGGACATCGCAAGCTTTCCATTACAACAATAACACAATCCATGACTCCAATACACGACACCACGCATTGGACAAATTAAACTATATTCACACAATGTTAAGGGGCTGAATACCCCACATAAAAGACGTGTCCTATTAGACTACCTAAAACGAATTAAAGCAGACATTGTCTGCATACAAGAAACACATTTTGTATCTAACCGAATTCCCACATTTGCTATACGGGATTACCCCCTTCAATATCATACCACACACACCTCCAAATCCAGGGGAGTCTCCCTCCTATTCCACAACTCCCTGACAATAGAACCATGCCGAATTAAAAATGAGTGCCAGGGACGATTTATAATCCTACACTGCCTTAACAATAACCCTCTAATACTAGTTGGAATATACAGCCCTAACAAAAATCAACAACATTTTCTACACAGGGTCCTTGGTAAACTACCCGCAGATACTAATGCCCCTATATTACTTTGCGGGAATTTTAACCACACTATAGACGCCCGACTAGACTCGACAGCCCCCGATACCTCCAGCAGACACCACACACTTAAACTACACAACAAGGCCCTAGTAAAACTGTTGCACACACAGGGCCTGTACGATGTATGGAGGACACTACATCCACAGCAAGGGAGTACACGTTCCACTCCCAGGTCCACAAAACATACTCCAGAATCGACCATATACTGACCTCAGGGATACTCCTCCCACAAATTACAGAATGCGCCATAGGCAACATAGTGTGGTCAGACCACGCACCCTTAACTTTGACCATACAAGACCACTACCAGCACCGAGGTAGACCTCCATGGCGTATGAATGACATGCTACTAAACGACACTGAATACATGAAACAACTAACCCGAACCCTACAAGAATACTTCGAGCTCAACGACACACCGGAAGTTTCTGCCACGACAATTTGGCAGGCTCACAAAACTGTCATTAGAGGTAAACTAACAAGTTTACATCATATCTCAAAAAACAATGTGACAAAGAATATATAGACCTCCTAAGGAAACTTAGGGGCGTAAGGAAAGCGCACCTCCTGCAACCCTCTGAACCATTAGACAAAGAAGTCGCAGATACCACCGAATGAATCAATAATATCAATCTAAACAAAACAGCTTATATACTAACTAAACTAAAAATGAAAACATACACTCAAGGCAACAAAGCCGGAAAACATCTAGCAACGTTACCAAAACAAAAACAAGCCAACTCCAAAATCTCATATCTATTTACCCACACAGGGGACAAAATCCACAACCCTCAAGATATCAACGATGAGATGGCCGACTATTATCACACGCTATACAACTTAAAACAGGACCCTAACCTACACCAACCCACAGAACAGGAAATAGCTGCTTTCCTTCAAAAGACCACACTGCCCACGCTATCAGCAGCCCAAAAACAAGTCATACAAGACCCCATCACAATACAAGAAATACTGGATACCATCCAGGCACTCCCACCCGGAAAATCACCAGGCCCAGACGGACTGACCAACCAAAACTATAAAAAATTTGCACCAATGCTAGCTCCGTACCTACAGAAACTATACTCCCACACCCTAAGCCTGAAAGCCATGCACAAGGAAATGTTAATTTCATGTTGCCACACTTCCCAAACCGCCAAACAGAAGCCAAAACCTAAGACCCATATCTCTGCTGAATAACAATGTCAAGCTCATAGCCAAAATCTTCTCCAACAGACTGGCAGCTATCATACCAACACTCATAAAGGAGGACCAAGTGGGGTTTGTGAGTGGTAGACAGGGAGCAGTTGGTACATGGAAAATCTTAAACTTCCTGTATGGCATGAAAGAGAGGAAGGCCCCCAGCATCCTGTTATCCTTGGATGCAGAAAAGGCCTTTGACAGGCTGAATTGAGCTTTCCTGTCAGCTGTGCTCCAAAAATTTGAATTTCCACCCCAGCTTCTGGCCCTGGTTGAGGCACTCTACTCATCCCCAACCGCAAAAGTAATAAATGGGGAATTTATCTCCAAACCGTTCTCAATCTCAAATGGCTCCAGACAAGGATGCCCACTCTCCTCACTGCTCTACATACTGGCACTGGAACCCCTAACCCAACAAGTACAGGAAGACCTGAATATCCACAAAGTCCAAGCCAGAAGAAAAGAATCTAAACTTTCGCTATTTGCAGACGACATCCTACTAACGCTGGAACAACCACACATATCCCTCCCAAACTTCCATAAAATTCTCACCCAATATAGTCAATACTCATATTATAAACTAAATATTGCTAAAACCCTAGCTCTGGGCATTAATGTCCCCGCACAAGACATGCAACATCTCAAAGCTAATTTCACTTATGACTGGAGGCAAGACCATATAAAGTTTTTAGGGATAAATTTCACACCTACGCCAACTAGATTATATAAAGCAAACTACCTCAAACTACGAGGTGAAATCCAAAACGTAATGCAAAGCTGGAAGGGGAAATTTATTTCATGGGTAGGTCGAATAGCTTCCATAAAAATGGTGATCCTACCCAAAATTCAATACCTATTCCGAACACTCCCACTTAAATTGCCGAAAACATACATACAAAACCTACAAACCCTCCTAAATGACTACGTATGGGAAAACAAAAAACCACGCGTAGCGAAGGACACCATGCACCGGCCATTTAATAACAGCGGAATGGGAATGCCAGATATAAAAGGATACTACAGAGTGGCTCACATTGCCCCAATGTTAACAATTCCCCACCACAAGGAACAAAGCGCGTGGGCCAAAATAGAAACAAGTTACACAGACGGAGTAAACCTATTGACACTAGCATGGACACCGAACTACCAAAATAGGCCATAATACACTCATATTCTACCCACAACTGCTTTAACCCTCTCCATATGGGATGATTACAGAACGAAGATGGGCAAATCAAACCCAATATCACCAGCACTCCCACTGGACTCAATACAATTTCACATATCGGACTTCAACTACAAAATCTGGCACAGGTACGGCATACGAACACTATCGCAACTAATGCATGGACCTAAACTAAAACAATTCTCAGACCATAGACAGGAGTTCACACTGCCCACAACAGCCTCCTTCTCTTATATGCAACTACAATCCTGGTTTACTCTACAGCAAAAGCACACACTCACGACAGCACCTGACTCATTCTGGCAGGCAGTGGAGCAAATAAGCACAATGGCTAAACCAGCCAGGAAACTCATCTCCATGATTTATGTCTCAGAACATAATCAACCCGCTAAATCCCCCCCTCCTTCATATTGGCATGGGAAAAAGATATAGGCCACCAACTAGCTGCAGCCCAGTGGCAAGACATTTTTAAGGCATGCAAAACACTAACATTATGCACGACCCACATAGAACTATCCTGCAAACTTCTTTCCAGATGGTATCTGGTTCCCACACGCCTCAAACATAGCTACCCTAATACATCTGACACATGCTGGAGGTGCCAGAAAAGCCGTGGCACAATGTTACACATATAGTGGCAATGCTCAAAACTCCAACAATATTGGCAACAAGTAGCAACCCTAGAAGCCAAATGCACTAACTTACACCTC